GTGTACTCATTCAACAAGTAGAAACAAAATTTATTTCCAGTCAATTAAAAAGAAATCTGATGCTTTGGTCTGTATCTGTTAAAACTTCAAGAAAATCTGGGCCTTTCTTCTGTCATAAGTAACTCATACCAGAGATTGTGAACTAGAAGAATGATTCTGCATTACAGATACAGTTGTCCTGCAGGATTCTTTGGCTTAGTCTGTATTTGCCACAGGTTTATTCACAAAGTTTCCTTCTTCATCTTTATGTATCTGTCAAGATGAATTTTCTGGTTCAATGTATATGGTATAATTTCATGTTGCCGTTTACCTGTTTGTGTTAAATTTCTTTCTCCAAAATTAAATCATTACAGATTAATATAAATGGTTGTTTAGGCTTTACAGCAGTGTATAAATAATTGGAACTGTACTTATTCTTTATCATTTCCTTTCTCAGTTTATATTTCCTGTTTCAACTAAGGTGAATTCAAATTGGATCTGTAATACTTGGTCTTTTAGTCTTTTAAAATGTAATAAGCAATTTCAAACCTTTCTCTTATAAAATATATTCTAAGATCTGTTTAACTATGTATTTTTAGGATATTGGTGCTGGAAAAGGCAAATACTATGCTGTCAATTTTCCAATGAGAGATGGTATAGATGATGAGTCATATGGACAGATATTTAAGCCTGTAAGTATTATTATTCTCAAATTGAAATGGATTTAAAAGTTGTTAGAGATATAACATTTGTTATTTGTTTTAATTATCTCAAAAGTGATGGAGATGTATCAGCCTAGTGCCATGGTATTACAGTGTGGTGCAGACTCATTATCTGGTGATAGACTTGGTTGTTTCAATCTAACAGTGAAAGGTAAGCAATTTAAAGGATAATATTCCCAGAAAAAAATAGATTTTCTTCTTCACAACTTCTTCCTGTAAAAGTTCTCATTGCAGTTTCTTGCCTGCTGTTTTAACAAACTAAACTCTGCTTTGTATTTTTCATAGGTTTTTGTCTGTCATATGTGTGTATGTGTGACTAGAGTTAATCTTGTTTCATTTTGTCAAATTTATGTGTACCTTTCTGTACATGAATAGTTTTATGAGACTGCTTGCAGTCCCAACCAAGGCAACTAGTTTCAGTGTTTTTGTTGATTTTTTTTGGTGTTTACCTTTCTCCAAATGCATGCATACTGTGTTACCTAATTGGATTTTTAATTTTAGCCTTAATACTAATTTTTCATTGCGAAAGAAGAGGGTTTAGCTCTCCTCACCACTTTGTCTTCAACATACTTGTACCCTTCTCATATCTCCATTTTTACATCAGAATTTTACTTGTGATGTGCTACTGCTGTTACAGCAGTAGCATCTTTAAACACTTCAACTTATCCAGTTTTACTTTCCTGCATAACTTGTTTTTCTTTTTGTCTATGTCCTTTCTGCCTTCAGTTATGTTCTTGCTGTTGTATTCGCTCCCATTCTTCATTCTTATGGAGTTTAGCTTTTAAAGAAATCTCTTTACAGTCATTTTTGTCAAGTTTCAAGATGAAGGAAAAGTAAATGTCTTTGTTTAGCCAGCTATCTTGACTTAGAAGTTTGTAAGTTAACTTTTTGTATGTTTGTTTTGTCTTTTAAGAATTTCTTTTTCTAATTGCAAGTGGCCCATGTTTTCCCAGTAGCAATAATGAAAATCAGATTGTGAATCATATAATGCAACTATTGAAGAATATTTAATGAAAATGCCCACAATATACAATTACATGAGGAGAACAGATCATTAAACTTTGTAAAATTAACTTGGAATTGAAAGGGAATATAGAAAAAGTATTTTTGGATAATGGGACTTTTGGGGGGCTAGTTTTTTCTTTGTACCTTTTTGCTTTTTTCCAAATATTTTTCAATATGTATGAATGTCTTTTATAATTGAAGGATTTTTCTTTCTTTAAAGATTGAATTTTATGCCTGAATGATAATATTCAAAGAAATTAACGCTAACTTACAAATGATTATTGAGCTATGACATTTATCCAGAGGAGATATTTGGCTTTATGTTAGGTTTACTTTTGTATTCAAATTTCTACACATACAAGTTTTTAAAGTTTTTAAAATAGTAATAAATATTAATTTTTAAATCTTAAATAAGTTAAGAAAATTATCAATAGTACCACTACCTAAAGGTAACCCACAGTAAACTTTGTTATGTAGCCTTCCATAATTATTTTATACATGTCCACAGGGAAAACATGGTAGCAAAAGTCAATTTAGATTGTGCATAATGTTTCATTGTACCCTGATATTTTTATTTTTATCATGTAACATCACATAGACATCTTCCTGTGTTAGTAAAGATATGTGTGTATTTATATGTATAAATGTTCATCTAGTTGCATTTATGACTTTTCTATCAGGAGCACTTGCCAACATAGCCATTTATGTCTTACTGAGTTATGTATATCATTGTATGAAAAGTGATAAGGAGTTTAAGACTAGAAAGTTTTTGGATTTTCTTTGTTTTTAAAATATTTAGAAAATCTGTTTGGGTTGAGTAAAATTTTGTTTGTATTTATCTTTTTAAAATTCATTTTTCTAACTGTTACAATATGCACATTTTTGTTGTTATCCAACTCTTCTTTATCTTAGGTCATGCTAAATGTGTAGAAGTTGTAAAAACTTTTAACCTACCATTACTGATGCTTGGAGGCGGTGGCTACACAATCCGTAATGTTGCTCGATGTTGGACATATGAGACTGCAGTTGCCCTAGATTGTGAGATTCCTAATGGTGAGTGTTCTTACTGTGATTTCTTTATGGTATAAGCTGTCAATACAGATGCTCTTCAACTTATGATGGGACTCCCTCCTGAAAAACCCCTCGTAAATTGAAAATACATTAAGTCGAAAATGAATTTAAACAGTTACCCTGTTATACATCATCGCTTAGCCTAGCCAACCATAAACATGCCCAGAACACTTACATTAGCCTACAGTTAGAGAAGATAAGCTAATACCAAGCCTATTTTATAATAGTAAAATATTAAATATCTCATGTAATATATTACGTTGAAATTATGATAGTTTCACACCATCATAAGGTTGAAGAATTTTAAGTCAGACCATTGAAAGTCATGCACCATCTGTATATAGAAATAGATGGCTGAATGATTAGAGTAGTCTTCAAAGCTATATAAATAGAAGAGCATTCACTTCATGTTCACCTTTAAACATTTTCTTTGGAAATAATTTCGCTATCTGAATCTGAATTCTGTGCGTGAATTTATGTAAAAATTGAGCCTTTAATGTGTAACTTTATTTTTATTAGAGTTGCCATATAATGATTACTTTGAGTATTTCGGACCGGACTTCAAACTGCATATTAGTCCTTCAAACATGACAAACCAGAATACTCCAGAATATATGGAAAAGATAAAGTAAGAAATTATTCAGTTGCTTTGATAAACATTTCATCATGACAAAGCTTTAGAAGGTAGATTCTTTTAATTTTATACATAGGCAGATATATACAGATATTTCCTTTGTATTTATCTAAAGGATTTAAAACTTTAGGTTATTGGTTTCTTTATTTCCCCTCAAAACCAATATACAACAGAATGTTTCTTTAATTTCTGAAGTTAATAGAAATGTATGAGCTTTATAGCTCAAAAATATTTGAAATATATTTTTTAAATTGCAAGGGGCACTATAAGTGTAAGGGCTTTGCATTAAAGTGAAGTTTATTCTCATTGTCTGAAATGTTTTGTTAAAGCTTTATCTTCACAGTTTTTATAGAGACATGGGAGTACATAGGCATGGGTTTGTGTCTTCTATCACAAACTAGCTGTATGACATTTTGATGAGTTTATTTGCCTTTGTGTTTATGTTTCTTCATCATTAAAATGGGGGATAAAGTAGTTTCTACTTTGCGAGTTTGAAAATTAAATGAGTCAATATACGTCAAGTGTCAATACTCAATAAATGTTATTGTTATTTTAATGTATAGATTAAGCTAGATCAAAGATGGGATTTTTTTTGCCTGTAAGAGGAATTGTAAAGAGACTGAATTTTGTCTAATAAACTTTGCATGTGTAATTTAGACAGCGTTTATTTGAAAACTTGCGCATGTTACCTCATGCACCTGGTGTCCAAATGCAAGCTATTCCAGAAGATGCTGTTCATGAAGACAGTGGAGATGAAGATGGAGAAGATCCAGACAAAAGAATTTCTAGTAAGATATTGCCTTGATGTGTATTCTGTTAGATTTTTCCAGTTTATTAAAATGACAGTTCAAATTCAAGGTTTTAGTAGCACAAGAACTTCACAATGGGTCATGTTTGTGAGCACACTATTATTGTTGTCATTTTCCATTTTTAATCTTACATAGATTTAGCTTCCTAATGTCCTCAAGCCTGATTTGGGTGTTGGCACATTCAGTTTATGTGACTACAGATGATTGAAAGTTTCTACAAATTAGCCACTTATATACATTTGGGGATAAATTGGAAAACATTCCATTTATCTGAAGTACGATGGGTTAAATGACATTAAGCATCTTATGTTTGATTTTATAGCCTCTCATTACACTTAATATGATTATTGGATTATAGCATAAGGGTATGCTTAATGGTATAGGCAGTCTAACATATTTGGTATTAATGGTATTTTTAATTTTGTCCACTTTCCCTCTCAGCTCTGAAATAAAAAGCTACTTTTTAGGTAAAGATGTTATTCCCCTGCCCTACTACACAATTTTTTCCTCCAAAGTTTTAGCTTTTTTAAAAAACAAAATGAGATTCCCCAAATGTTTTTATGTTTTTGAACGATTCCTAAATCAAAGCCAAGTTTTCAGTATGAAATAAAACCATTCATTCAGTTTTGATTTAATTCAATCATTGAGCCTCTGTGAGCCTGTACTTCTAAATGTGGTAACTGGTTAGTGCATTTGTATGAGTGTGCTATGATTGTAAAACCTGACTTTTTTTGTCAAAATTTAATAAAATATTTTATGTCAGTTCGAGCATCAGACAAGCGGATAGCTTGTGATGAAGAATTTTCAGATTCTGAGGATGAAGGAGAAGGAGGTCGTAGAAATGTGGCTGATCATAAGAAAGGAGCGAAGAAAGCTAGAATTGAAGAAGATAAGAAGGAAACAGAAGACAAAAAAGCAGGTCAGGTTTATTTTTTGGTGATTACATTTTAATTGTAAGTTTTTAAATTGAACTACATTGCAATTTTGATTAGATCCTGAAGTCAGTTGCACAAGAATCATGGGGTAGGTGTGTAGATAGATGACTTTTTTTTTTTTTTTACATAAGTAGTGTTTAACTGTTAAATATTTTTTATGTAAAGCTTTCTAAATGTTATTACTCCCATTTGCTTTAGTAATACAGGAAAACTATAACTATAGGAAAACTATAACTATTCTCTTGATGATAATATGCTTAAAATAATGAACATTGCTCTGTGCTGCAGATTGGATAAGAAAGAGGGCAGATTATAAATCTATTTATAGTTTGTGAACAGAGCTGAAATTCTAAGTTAATTTTTAACTACCTAAAGTTTGGTTTAATGAGAATAAAACACAAAAGAGTTATATTATCCATAGACCAGTTTCACCATTTTGACAAAGATCAGATAATAGGTTTTGTTCAGAAATTAAAGAAACATTAAAACTCTGAGGAAAGATAGGGATTTGGGAGTTGGGTTGGGAAGAGATACTGCTTTCTGAGCCTTAGCTTAAAAATGCTATGTTAGCTTTAGGCAATTGAATTTGCTACCACAATCTGTTATCTTTTTAATCTGAGTTCCCAGAACACTTACACATGCCTCTGTTATGTTATTAAACACATTATATTATAGCACCTTATAGGATTTTGTCTCCCTGCTAGATTGAGCTGCTCATGGCTAGGGAACACAGTATCTTAAATATTTGTCGTTTTAGTACTTGGTGCATTTCCTAATGCAAGTAATGGTGATAGCACAAGTTTTAGTTGCCCTGTTAATTTTGACCTTGGAGCATGTAAAAAACTGATTCAGAGATACTGGTCCAACATTCTTTTACTATATCTACCAAATTGAAGTTAATCGTGAGTGAGTTGGCCATTTTTGTTACCTACCCATAGCATGTCTGACACATCTAGTTTTGTTCTTTAATGCATGGATTTTTTCTTCAATAGGCTACATTTCTCTGTTTACCATTTTATACTTTTAATTTCCCAGTGATGGCTCCAGTATACTGATTGACATCCAAAAATTCTAGCCATGACTAATGTAAGAAATACTTAACATTAGCTGTAGGATTATTCTAGTTTTTTTCTTTTATTTCACTGTTGGTATGTTTTCTTGTCATTCTTCTCATTTTAAAATCTTTATTTTTCTGTGTTTTTTTTTTTTAAAACTATGCTTTATTTGGTGGTGGGCTCTTTTGATAGAGCCTGGCACTTGTTAAAATCCCTCAGCCTACAGAAAAAAGAAATAATACTATATAGAAAACCTTTTTTAAAATCTGTAGGTGAAAACCTAGAGTTGGTGCCATTCCTTTTGTCTTCCTCCCCTCCTCCATCTTGTTTTGGCACTTTTAAGTGTACACAGCTAAAATTAAGCCAAAAGTTTAAACAAATGCCACAAGCATCATATTGTCAATAAGTGTGTTTGTATTATAGAGCAGACCAGTTCCCCTGAAATGTCTGTGTAGAATACCTAACTATACCGATATTTCAGTCTATTGTTATTATTAGATTATCACGTTATAACTTTGTTTATTTAGGGAAAAATTTCAGCACATTAGGTATAACTTTTTAGTTTTTGGCAATCTTGAGTTTAAAGTGTTACTGCTATTATTTCATTAAAATTGTGACCTTTCAGTATTTATTTAGTGAGGATTAAAAACTAAAGGTAAAAGCAGCAAGACTTAGCCTCTACTTGTGTCTCTGGGCTCACAATATCTAACTCTTCCCCTTTCTGACAATATTCTGGCCACAATGATCTTTTAGTTCTGCCTTGCATCCTGCCAATGCCTTCTTGCCTCAAAGTCCCTTTTTTTAAGTTTTTCTCTTTTTAAGATACTTCCTTTTTTTCCCCACTCGAAATGTATTCATTCTTCAGGACACCTCTTAAATGTGTCGCTTTTCATGGTAGCCTTTCTTGACCTCCACAGTGCTGTGCCTGTGTCTGCACTCTGAACTTCTGCACAATACCTGTTGCAATAAAAGTCACAGAACTAAAAGTTTAAAAAGGTGAGGGACCACATGGCAGTGACAGTTTGAACCACTATCATTTAGTATAATAGCTAACACAAACTGTATTTAGTTACTGAAATCATCAACAGTAAGATTGCATATGACAACTTTTTATATTTTAAAAGTAAATTGCATTTTGAAATAAAATGTATACATTTCAAGGTAGGTTTTAATCTGTTCCTAATCTTTATTTTTAGATGTTAAGGAAGAAGAAAAATCCAAGGACAATAGTGGTGAAAAAACAGATACCAAAGGGTAAATGATGTTCCTTATCTAGTAATTTTTATATGCTATAAAAATAATAAACGTATCTATTTGGGGGGTATATATGTGCATTACATACTTTAGGAATACTGGACTGAGCCTAAGAAGATCAGTAAGTTGCATGAAATGCCCTGAATTTAGTCTGTATTAGTACATAACACAACATAAGCCGTCTTAACTGATGGTTTATGTGTCATCCGTTTGACTCCTGTTATTTAAGTAGCTTGTTTTTAAAAACTACAAAGACTAGTGTTAATCATATTATCCATTATTATAACTAAATAAATCAATTTGTATTCTTGTACATAATTTATTTAAGACTGTTGCTATTAATTTTTATATATACATTCATGGTTTACAATGGTGCTCTTATTTCTGTGTACATGATATTTTTAGTGTTGTGAGATAAGTAAATTTAAGAAACATTGTGCTAACCTAATTTTTAAGTAAAAACATGATTGAAGAGTTTATCGTCAGAAAGCATGTAAATGTTTGGTCACATGTAATTTTCTGCTAGCCTTTGCAGGGTAACTTGGTATAGGTATGAAACCACTAGAAAGATAAAGGCATTCATTACTTCAAAAACACTTAAGACATTGTCAGCTAACATGTTTCTTGGCCTGAGCCTATGCAATCTGATCAAAAGAATGGATTGGTACATTTAAACCAAAATTGTGCCATTTTTAATTTTTCACATTGTCTTCTTTTAATAGAGCCAAATCAGAACAGCTCAGCAACCCTTGAATTCGAAAGTCTCACCAACTTCAGAAAATCGTTAAAAAGAGAAAATATTGAAAAGAATGGTTTCAAAAGACTTCCGGCTTCATTTTATACTACTTTGGCATGGACTGTATTTATTTTCAAATGGCTTTTTTCGTTTTTGTTTTACTTGGCAAGTTTTATTGTGAGTTTTTCTAATTATGAAGCAAAATTTCTTTTTCTCCACCATGCTTTATGTGATAGTATTTAAAATTGATGTGAGTTATTATGTCAAAAAACTGATCTATTAAAGAAGTAATTGGCCTTTCTGAGCTGATTTTTCCATCTTTTGTAATTATCTTTATTAAAAAATTGTACTTGGATTGTCTTTTGTCTGTTTATTACAATATCAAGTCTTATTTCAGAGGTTAATGACATGACCATTCCTGTAGAATTAGAATACACTAGAGGTAAAAGATAATGGTTACAGCTTGAAAGGTATCTATATACTATTTCTTTGGGAAGAGTATTTACAGTGATTATTATTTCTTTTTACAATAGAAATTCTACCACCTTACCCTATGTAGCTTGGCGGGTCTATTGGTAAAGAGTGATGACATCTCATTATAATTTATCCATGAAATTAATAATATAGGCTGTACAGTGGAGATATAAGAATTGTCTTTGAGCTAAACCAAAGATTCTCAAAAATTAGAAATGGAAATTCTAAATTGAAAGAAAAAACTGATTAGAACTGGTGTTGACCAGACTTGATGGTATTATATTGTCAGTTTAAAATGAAACCTCCTATTTAACAAAACTTAGTTATTTTACTGCATTTACATTGTATCCAGGTTCCATTATTACACTCAAGTTTCCAAATCAAAGACATTAAACACTTAAGAAAGAGATTTATCATTCAACAACTATTTAAGTGCCCCTTTTAAGATTTGGGGAATGTAACTGAATATAATGGGAAAATGTTTTCATCCACGGCTAACATTCAAACCCTCTTAAATATTTCAGACATGTACCTAGATTTTTGTAATGAAGAGTTGTATACCCACCCATATTTAGCAAATGTTTCACTTTTGCCATATTTGTTTCAAGTGTTTTTTTTTTTTTCTTAAAATATACTGAAATTGAAGCCCTGGTTATATTCTTTGTAATTTAGAATTTTCCTCCCTCCCTGTCTTCAGAAGTAACTACTATTCTGAAGATTGTGGATATCTTATCAAGGTTTTAGTCCTTATGCTACATATTTGTTAGCAATCCATAAACCTTTATTACATTAGAAACTAAAGAACTCAGTCCCTTCATTAGGGGAATGAGATATACTTAGTGTTTGTGAAACACAGAGATGGTATCACATACGTACACTTTTGTAACTTTTGCTCATTCAATATTGTGATCTACCCCTGTTGATATATGTAAGTATAATTTATTTTGTCTGTCTTACATTCCAGTATATGAACATACTGAAATTATGTACTTCAATACTATAGTGAATCTCCTTGGGTATATTTAGGAGGTTTTGTTTTCCTATTTGTAAGTAGAAGTATTTATTATATAAAACTAAAGCCTCATGGGGATTATCTGAAACAAGCAATTTCAGTGATTTGGTACAGCACTAATAAAAGAGAAACGAATAAATTCAAACAATAACCAGATCTGTTGGAAGAACAAAGACCCCCATTTATAATAGCAGTAACAAAAATTTCAAGAAATAATGTGTAAATAAGCTATGGTTCTGTTGTATAGTTAAGATCAGTGTAGCAGGCTGTCTAAATACCATAATACACTTAGAAATCAATATAGAATAAAAATTTATATTTGAAATTGGTGAGGAAAGACAGATTATTCCATAAATGGTGTTGGGATAATAGGTAGCCAAATTGGGGCAGGGTAGGGGGACCATGAGTTTTAAGTCCTCTGCCAGAAGAATAAAATTTAAATTGGGGGAAAAAGAAAGATGAAACCATGACTTTCTGAAAAATAAATGGATTGGCAGACCTTTGTGAATGCTAAAAAAAAGTAAATGGAATGGCGAGGGCCTAAATGTCACACCAAACCTAAACTACAAAAGAAACTATATATTTGACAACAACAGCAACTCTGTACGCCAAAAAAAAAGGAAAAAGCCAAGTCAAGAAAAATGACAAAAGGTGTCAAAAGGAGGGAGGCAGAATTGCAACTGGTCCCAAAAGGCTAATATCTACAGACAGAAAAAAAATGCATGAAGGAAGTGAACTGAGAAAGTTTTTTTGATACAAAAAGATCTTTAACCTCACTTAGGGAATGTAAATTAAAAGCTGTAGAGATACTTTCTTTTTTTTAACCTGACTTTTTGAAACCTATCATTTTAAAGATTAAAAACAACTTGACGGGAGTTAGGAAACTTATGTGTAAGTCAGTACAACCTCTTGAAATTAACTTAATACTCTATGTCAAAATTACAAATAATTGAGAATTCCATTTTGAGAAATTTAAGATGGTATGTGCAAATAACTTTCAGAAGACTTCATTATGCAACATCATTTATTATAAGATTAAAACTTAAATGTGCAGTAGGGGAGCGTTAAATGATAATATTGTGCAGACATAAGTATGAGATAATGAGGATACAGCATCAAGATACATTAAGTGAGAAAGGAGGAAAGATGTGGGACTCATGGTATGATGACTACCTTTTGTATAAAAAGAAAAAATGCATGAAATTAGTTGTACAAATAATATACAAATAATGGGAAAGAATCATGAAACTGGTTAGTTGTGGGGCATTGACTGCTTTCATAGGAATTTGAGCACTAGACCATATGGATATTAATACCATTACAGAAGTGGTTAATAAGTCAAAAGTTTAGCAATTTTATTCAACCTTACACCTTCCTTTTCCTTGACTCAAATTATCTCTTGAAATGTCTTGGAGACTCATTCAGTTCAGGACTGCTGGAACAATAGTGACTATCTTAACCCTTTGCACTTGCTTTTTTCTCGATTCCTTTATTCTACTCGGGATTTAATTTTTTAAATACCCCAGATTTTACAAAGCGCGGCAGTAGAATAAAAAACTGGAGTTTCTTTTCATACAAATTTATTTGGATTTTTTTATATTTCAAATTATTGATACATTCAAAGAATCATTTTAATCTCTAATTTTTCATGGTGTGATATTTTTTGAAACATTCACCCACATGAAGACCTGGTTTACATTCACACGTTTCACAAATATAAATCGTCTCTCTTCTTCCTCTGATTTTTCTGTTAGAACAAACAACACAATCTTTGTGTTTTTTGTTAGGGTGAGGTGTGATTATATGGAGCTTTCCATCTAAACGTTGCTCTAAGTTAGTGGATAATAATCTATCCCTGGAGTTGGTGTACCATCTCTGCATTACATTTTACTTGTTTTTTCATGCTAATGGAAACAAGAAAAGATACTGGAAAAATAGACAAAAATCCCCCTTCCCCCTGCGGTGAAACTACGTGTTGAGTGTGGCTCGACATACAAGCTGCTACTGATGCTAACCGTGTCGTGTCACACTCAACATCCAAGTGCAAAGGGTTAATGTCATTTCTTAACAGGAGTAGGAAGACTTGGCATGTGGCTGAAAGCCCCACCGCCAAAGATAAGAAAGATTATATACAGGTCATCTGGAAGAATTATGTGAATTGTCTTGGGAAAAGTAGCAACTACCACTATCATTGCATTTTGTTTTAAGTAACATTTTAAAACTAAGAAAGACTTCAGCTCAAAAAAAGTTTTGAATTCATTTAATGAACATGTTGCAGTGTTGTCCTTAATGTTTCTCATTTCTGCATGGCATGGATGAATGCCAAATCTGCATTGGTACCCTCAAGTATGTCATAATCTTTGCCCATCTACCAAAGCCACTAGCATTCTGTCAGTGGGCGATTCTTTGAAATTCTTACACCAAAGTCATTCACCTACATCACCTGGTTTCTGTGGCTTTCGTACAGAAATACTGCTGAAATTTCACTCTCTGGGATTCATATTATAATATTTCTTATTTATATTGTGGTATCAATGGTAGAGGTTTGAGGTTTTAAATGAAAACTTAGATTTGTGTACTATCACAGTAGTAACTGTTTCAATAGCTTAAGATCTCCTTTTATTCACCATAATCTCAAGCAAAGTTACTGACCTCTGTGCCTCAGTTGCTTCATATTTAAAATGATGAAAATGATAATAGTCCCTACCTCTTATTTCTTGTGGGGATCGAGTTAATACATAGTGAATGCTAAGTGTTAGCTGCTATTACAGTTCTTATAAGATAAAGGAGGGTTGATGGGGCCAAAATGATGCAGGGGATATTAAAATTTTTAAATATTTACGTGTTCTTGTATTTGAGCCTTTTGTTGCAGTTTGATGCCTACAAGTATCAGACTACTAGGTCATAGTGGCTAGCGAAACAATCTTTTGAGACCTGATTTTACTAAGGAAGCAAATAAGATTTGGCAAATTTAGAGGGATCATAGTGCCCTGTAATTTACTAGATGATAATCTCAAGCAAAATGTTTGTGAAGAGATTATGGGAAAGATAAGACTATTACATTGTTATTGCTGGCTATTCACATGAGTAGCAATGTTCATGTGGAGAAATGATGTTCAGGAGGGTTACATTTAGAAGCTGACCGGGGGCGGGAGGCATGGGCAATATATGTAACCTTAACACATGTATACCCATAATACGCTAAAATAAAAAATAAAATAATAAAATAAAATAAAAAATAAATGAATTAAAAAAAAAAAAATCTGCCCAATTGCACTTCCCCACTACACCACAAGATGGCAGATACTCCACTTTAAATTTTTTTGTATTTGTGCATTTTCTCTTGTAGTCACTTGGTCCATTCAACAAGCAGAGTAAAGTATTAACAGGTTCTTCTGAATGCAATATTGGATTAAAAACTATTTGGATTAAACTACATTTCAGTATACTGATTTAAGTTTTTCTTAAGTATAATAATTGTAACACTAATTCCTAAGCTTTACATCCATAAAATGTGGTAGAATGTATGTGGTAGTAACTAGTTACTGGTAATGTTTCTAGTTAAAAGTAGAAAGGAACGGAATATTAGAGCCAAGATAATTTTCTATTTTGGCTGGTAGTGAAATCAATAATATACACACTGGGAAAGGATTAAAATTTATTTCTAGGAATTATAGCTTAATATAGTGAAGTTAATATTCAGGGGCATTGAATTCTTATGCCACAACTTCCATTACTGAGCTGAGTACCTAACCCCTTTGGTCTTTGAACACTTTACAGAGTTGTGATGAGGATTATTAATAAAATATTCTTTTTGGTAGAATAAATGATAAGGGAGAGCAGACTCCTTGATTAGATTCTGTGATTTGCT